AATAAACTACTTTTTGTGTCGATGTGAATAATTCTGGACTTCGATAACCATTAACTTACTTTAAGAAGGAAAAAAACAACTGAAGAATGTCCTTCAATAGTAAAGCAAATGACGATTAACAGTGAGACGAACGGTAATTATTTAGGCAAGAGACAATGTAATTGGCACGCCAATTAACTTTTTGCCTTTCTCCTGCAGCCAGGTGAGCACACGCCAATTACTGAACTTGGTTAGTATTATTTAGGCAAGAGACAATGTAATTGGCGTGAGCGAAAACAAAAATGATCCATAGGGATAAGTTATCTCAGCCGTGAGAGTTAAGTTTTTTATTATTTAGGAGTTTTCTGGATGACGAGTGTGTAATGGTTAGTATATTAGAATTTGTGTTAATTACTGAACATTATTGTTTAACTTTCAATGACAGATGATATGTTCAAGTGAGAAATTTAGTTTTTGATGCCAATTATATCATTTTTTTTCATTGAGTTTCCAATTCAACTTAGATGGGTCCTATTCAAGTAGAATGTATATTATCATTGACTCATTTGATCCAGATATGATACCGGTAAAGAATTAATTTTAGAATGAAATTGAGTACATTACATGATCTTTTATATTTATAACCATATTGATTGAGGAATTAACAATATTTTAAGTTAAGGAGTAGATATTTGCTATTGAAAGAATATATTGCTTTCATATGGTTTCCAGAATAATTGGCATGTGAAATTCATTTTGCTGATGCTTCATGATATTTTTTAATAGCATAACATCAGAGTTCATGTTTTTTTAGTTTTTTTAGTTTTCCGGCATGGTTAAGTTCTAATCTCAAAATTTTGTTTCTAAATTTAATTTAACAAGAAAAAATATGCACAACCACTTGTTTTTTTCTTCATTGGATAAGAAACATGTCTATGTTTTTGCTTTCATACGTTCAATTTCTCTCACTTCGCCAATGTGATTTCAAAAATAATTGAGGTGTAATTGTGAATGACGAAAACAAAAAATGATTGTGGTGTTTTTGGCCAAAAATAAAAATAAAAATAATGGATTTAGCATGACAATGTTGGCGTTCTATGTTCTTTTAACTAACATATGTTATTTTTTAGTTGATAGAAATAACATTCCTTCCAAAAGATATTAAATTCTTTTTTTTGTAGATAAATGAAGTGAAATCATCAAGCCAATTTCCAAGTATTATCTATATATATATATAATAATTCTATATAGATAATCCCTAGTATTATCTATATATATATAATAAGAATTAACATTTACCATAAATAGTAGTAAGGAAAAGTCAACCACATTTATTATATACTATTTTTAGCAACTTTTACATTTTAATTTTAATTCATTATCAAAAAATTGAATAGTTCCTAGATTAATGGGTTTTAAATGCACGTATCATGTTTCAAAAATTATAAATCATTTAAAATCGGAGGGTTCCTAAATTAATGGTTACAAACTTTTCAAAGTTGTAATCTTTTTGGCATCTTTTCTTTTTGACTTTTAATGATAAAATTATTTTAAATATATATATTCTAATCCAAAAATTCAATCATGTTAAATATATATATATATATATATATATTGAACGCTAAAAATATTTTTTAAATTGCATACCCAATCAATTAATCTTAATTTTTTTTAAATTACTATCTTTATTTTTTATTAATATGCATAAAATGAAAATAAATAGTTCATCTTTAGATATATAATTTATAATCTTAATATACTATCATTTGGTGTAGACATATGAATCATAAAATATTTTTATTTCATAAAATTAAATATTATATTTAAAGAAAAATAAGGAAATTACTTTGGATCAATCGGGTGATTGAATTAAGGTACTGCCCACTTTGATTGAATTACTTTTAGGTGATATTTAAAATAGTCAAAAAACTTGACACAACTTGGTTGGTCCGAGGTAACTAAGTTATGTATCAGTTTGACCAGACCAAATTGATTATTGAACCTAAATATAAATTTTAATATTGAAAATACTTTATTACGTGAATGTGATGTAGTCCAAACTTCAAATAATCATATTAACAATACTTTTATGACAACATGATTAATGATTTATGAATATTTATATATCATTTTATCATTATTTATGTGAACAAAATATTTATTTGATTATCATTTTTATTAATGTACGGTAAATATAAGGTTTTCAGAATTGGGCCGTCTTGTGGTTGTTCGGATTTTAATACATAATACTTTTTGTAATAAATTTAAATAAAAAGTGTTACTTAAATATCTAAACAATTTATAAATTCAAATGTTTAAACTAATTGATAAACAATTTATAAATCTCTATTTTATTTAAATATGTAATTTTATTTAAAATAATTTTTCATGTAACAAAATTTGTTTAGAAAATCGTATCGATCTTACCAGTCCAACATACTGGTGTTGGCGGATTCGATAGCAAATATTTTATTCAAGCGCACTAAATCGGTTATAAACCGGTTCTCGGTCCATCCGGTCGGACTGTGTCCAACCCGGTTTAATTTATAAATAATGCGTAAATCATGATTATTGTTATTTATTTATTTAATTTATAATACAATCAAAATATTATTTTCCCGTGCATCGCACGGGCCACGTACTAGTTATAAAGATAATACGAAGAAAGAAAAACAATATTCCGTGTCCCATTTGTGTTTTCCAACTTACGATTTTTTACTTACCACAGCCCCTCAGCCACTGGTGCTCCTTTGTTTGGCCGGAGAGTCGCATCCTCACCAACATATGCTTAACCACCAGGTCTCAGTTTCACGAGTTAAAGAATATAGTCTTTACATTTTACAGTCGGCGCAGCAGAAGCCAAGATATCATCTGAAAACTCAAAACCACCTTAAAAAGCCCTGGAATATATCCATGGCAAAGAATGCATCCTCTTCAATTTCGCCATCGAATTGCACTGAGAGTGCCACTAAACAAACTGAGACCCTGAAATCCTTGTTCGATCCTCACAGTATTGACCCACATTTGCTTCAGAAAATAGAGTATGATGCACTGGTTTGGAGTTCTCTTCATGGGCTGCTTGTTGGAGACAGGGCTTCGGAGGTTGGTATTCTGATTGGATAACTGAATAATTTCAACTCTCCCCCTGAAATTAATCTTAATTTTCTTTTATCAGTTGTGGTATTCTTTCTGTATTAACATTGAGGTAGTTACTCATGTATAACCCAGCAAGGTCTTTCTGATTTTAGTTTCGTTTTTTTCGTTTCTTCTTTTAAGTTACGGTCTTTGTAATTATAATCGAGGGTGAAAAGGAGGGGGCCTTGTTCCATTTTTTTTTATTTTTTTTTTTGTTCTTCATTTTCAGATTTTAATGGACCTTATTTGATGTTTTTAACTTGATCTGGTCATCTTTCAATTGAATATAGGAGGTGCATATTTAATTTACACAATCTAATGTATCAGCTAAGCAGCCGGTTTTCAGTTTCTGATCCTCTTTTCTTTTCTTTTCTTTTCTTTTTTATTTGTATTTGCAGAACTCAGGAAAGATTCCTGGTGTCGGCCTAATTCATGCACCAATATCCTTGCTGCCTACACCGTTTCCTGAAAGTCACTGGAAACAAGCTTGCGAAGTAGCTCCAATATTCAACGAACTGGTTGATCGTGTGAGCTTGAATTCAGAATTCCTGCAGGAATCCCTCTCGAGGTTAGTAGGCTCGAATTTTCTTTTTATCTAGACATTTTTGTTTTCTGTGTATATTATATTCATCCGTTGGTCTTACGAGTGACTACAGATGCATTTACAATTTGCATCCATGGATCGTTAAGTATTCTGATCTAATATCTCTATGGATTTGATATTTTTATCAAGTTAACTGACTAACTGATACACTCTGCTCATGTTAATATTTTGTTGTTAGGTTTGTACTCCCTCTTAGCCATTGTTAAAAATCCACTTTGCCTTGATGTGTGGTCATAGATGAGAGTTGAAATAACTATAGTTTCATGTGCCTTTATTGTCCTCAAAAGCAGTGGTTACTGCTTATTGTCGTCATTGAATTTGAGAGACTGGTTTTTGCATAAAGATTTCATTTTAGTTTAACAGTCTTACTTGTAGACATATCAGAAAGAAGTATGAAATTTCTGTGGTGCATTAATTTTGTTCCCTAACGTTTACTGTGCAGAACCAAAAGGGTTGATGCTTTTACAGCTAGACTCCTAGATATTCATGCCAAGATTCTAGATATGAACAAGAGAGAGGTATTTCTTTCACGTTTATTCTCTTAGCTTCAAAGCATATGTGTTTAGTCTGTACATTTAGGATGTAAACTATTATTTTATTTTATTCCTGTTGATTATGTATCTGTATCTTTACTCGCCAAGTCGCCATAACCCAATGTTGAGCCAGAATCGTGTTCTTCAGCTCTACTCTTATATTAATGCAAGGTTTGTACTTATAGTTATAGGATTCTTAAATTGACTTGGAAGTTTCATGAGTCAACTTCATTTAGTTTGCTGATCGGTTTTTCATTTTATTATAAGAGGTTTGGTAGAGTGAACGGTGAATTGCAGGAAGAAATTCAAAGCTGAAATTGATAATTAACTGAAAACGAATGAAATGGGAAGAAAATATAACAATTGCAGGCAATCCTTCCCCAAGTCCAATTCTGATTGGGATTTCTTCTGCCTTAGCCAAAGGCTCCTCTGTGCTTTTTCTCAAAGCCCTCTAAACTGTACAACTTAAATTAAAAAATAGGTTTCTGAAGCAAAAAATTGGCCCATCACCTTATTCTAGTCCTAAATATATAACTAGAGTGGTAATTTAGATATAGATACGAAACAAGACTCTCGCTGAATTGCTGCATGCACTCGTCATGTAACCCAAATTATTTTGCGGATAGAATCTCACTCGTCACCAACCATCTTATAATGGGATTGTTCTCTTCCTCTGTTAGTTTTTAGATGAATCATTCAACTCACCGTGATTAGAATGTTTAGGACTTTATTTTCTTTTATTGTGTGATTGACACCTATTCTAGATTCCAAACCGCCTTCCTCGAGAGATCAACCTGAGGTTGGGATTCATTCCATTCTCGGTGACAATAATAATTTGCTACAACAAATTATTTAAAAGCTAAAAGCAAAAATTATAAGGTATGAAGTAATACGTACTATGCTAGCAAATTATCAGGAATTTTGTGAAAGTGGACCATATTTGATAGAAATGGAAACTTAATTGCATTAGTTCATGTGCACCCAAACTATTGAAACTTTTTTGTAAAACTGAGCCAACACACGGGACAAACAAAGTAACTTTGCTGAACATTTCACAAGATTCTGAACTCTTTAATACTGACACGCCCAACGACCATCTAAAATTTGTAGGTATACAGGAAAGAATTAAAGATGCAGAAGCCATATAAATATAACCTCTGACTAGAATGGTGAAGAGAAATGAAGCTTAGGAAAATAATATAATCCTCTAGCTAAACTGAACAGAGACATGAAGTAGTTAGAAGAAAATATGATTTTAACCTGTAGCTTAGAAAGTACAAAAGAGAAATGAAGGTCAGAATAATAACTCTGGTGCTTAGATTTAGACAAGCTGGTGCGTAGTTCAAATAGGATACTGTAAGGCACCAAAGAGTACTAAGAGAATGAAAATTGGACCGAATTTCTGAAAGTCAAATTGGCTTTAAACCGAAACTAATAATCACTGAAAACATTGACACTTGGTGAATAAGGACTGTTGGACCTAGGACAATGGAAGTCAGGGACTCTTTCTTGCTTCATTATGGATAGTTATGTTTTGGTTTTTGTAGTTTTTTTACTTATCTTTTCTCACACGTAGTACATGATATCTTTTTATTTTTTGAGTACAGTGGATTGTATCTTTTTCCCAAAGATTAAATTTGTTCTGAAACAGTACTTGACATTCTTATGGCATCGTAAGCTTTGTGAATTAGATGTCACCCTTATTAGAGTACGGCTTCCATTGTGAAGCTTTCTTTTCCCCCATGGTTTAGCACAATTTACTTATTTATTTATAGCTCCAATTAATTTAGAATGCAGTCTTCCTAGACCTTGAACTAACCATGTAGATAGTCTCTATTTATTTTCTGTTGGAGTAGAACTGATATTTTAACTTACTTCTATTCTAGGAAATACGCCTAGGACTACATCGCTCAGACTATATGCTGGATGAACAAACTAATTCACTTCTTCAAATAGAGCTCAATACAATTTCTTCTTCATTTCCTGGACTGAGTTGCCTTGTTAGTGAGCTTCACAGGTCATTTCAGACTGTACCATTTTGACCTTCACGTGCATCGGCATATATTCATTAGTGAATTCTATAAACTCTTATGACTGTGATTGTGTACCAATTTCCAGTATTTACTTTGTTTATTTTGTGCACATAATTTATCTAGCATGTACCATGTCTTGATTTTTCATGTTCTTGATTTATTTATTAATTCTTACTTTTATTTTTGTTTTTCATACCACTGATTATAATAGTCAGGCACAATATCCTGTGGCATCACTCGGATAGTAAAGATCCTTGATTCTTAGACAAAATTATTTTACCAAAATTGTGAACTTGGATTGAGATTCTTATGATCAAATTCAGATTCAAACTTTTTTGGACTGTGGTCAGAATTGAAGTGTTTTAAATGTAATTTGGTACTGCCTAAATAGATCAGTAGATGAAAGGAAAAGGGTCAAATATATTGTTTTGTTGTGTAATTATTATTTTATTAGGTTAAGATACTTTTTAGCTTATATGGTAAATATGGTCCTCTGAGTTAAGGATATGTACACCTTTTGCTGAGTTGAAGGGAAGATGTAGCGCTCATGAAGGAAACATCAACTTTTGTTGATCAAATATCTTATCACTTAAATTTTGGTGTTCGCTAACTGATAGAGTAGCTTAAGAACGAATGAAGATGAAGAGAACTCGTCCTTCCCAAAATATTTATTATAACTTATATGTATGCTTCTGCTAATGTAAAAAATATTTTCAAAAATCAAAAGCTTACTACTAGAATTAATCATCTGTATGGAGGGACGCTTTTATATTTTCAGGAGCTTGCTTCATCAATACAAACAGCACCTTGCTTTAGATCCACTACGGATTCCCCAAAATAATGCTGTTGGTTTGTTTGCTGAAACACTCTACAGAGCATGGGCCGAATACAATAACCCGAGGTTGGTAGAGTCATGTTTTTAAGATTTTAGTACTCTTTGTGTGTCCATTCTAAAGTATTTTACTGTTTTGAACAAGCTGTGCAGGGCTGTGGTGGTGATTGTTGTTCAAACTGAAGAACGAAACATGTATGACCAACATTGGATTTCTACTGTATTGAAGGAAAAATATCCTATATCTTGTTCTGCTAACTACTCTTTAAATATGTCATATGTGAAGTTAAAGATTTTATTGGCTGCAATAGATATTTCCTTAGCTAAATTTTACATATGAAGTTAGAAGCATAAGAAGGACCTTGGCAGAGATTGATGCACAAGGGGAGATTTTACCCGACGGATCACTTATTGTGTAAGAGTATTGATTAACTCTGAATGCTAGTTTGCAATGATCTTTGCTTTGAACTTATTGAGTTNCACAAGAACCTCCTCATAACTCTGCGCCGCATTATCCCAACTCAAATCCTGCCCCATTCCCCTCCTCTGCAACCCTTCCCAACTCTCCTTATACTCCCTATAAGTCAGCAAGCAATTCCCCAACGCATGTATCATCTCCCGGGCCTCGGCCCGCTTAAAAGTCCACCCGAGGCCCGTTTCCCCATACGGGTCGAAACTCTTGACCGTGTCCCTCAGCCCCCCCACCGCATGCACAACCGGCACCGTCCCGTACCTCATCGCATACATCTGGTTCAGCCCGCACGGCTCGAACCTCGACGGCATCAGCAACACATCGGCCCCGGCCGTAATCCGGTGCGCCGTCCTCACGGAGAATCCCACCCACCCCCTCACCTTATCCTTGTATCGGGCCTCCAACTCCCTCAACATATTCTCCAATTCGGCCCGGCCTGTTCCGAGCATCACGAGCTGCGCGTCCTGGCCCACGATCCACGGCACGGCCTCGGCTATCAAGTCGACTCCCTTTTGCGGGTCGAGCCTCCCGACGAACCCGATGAGCGGGACGTCTGAGCGGGCCGGGAGGCCCAACTCGGTTTGCAGGGCTCGTTTGCAACGGGCCTTGCCGGTTTTGAGGGTTTCGAGGGAGTAGTTCGTGTAGTTGTCGGATTGGAGGTGGGGGTCGAGCTCGGGGCTCCACTCGTCCGTGTCGATGCCGTTGACGATGCCGCGGAGCTTCCAATCGATGTCGTTGATGATGGCGTGGAGGCCCCAACCGCCCTCGGGGGTTTTGAGCTCCCACGCGTAGCCGTGGCTCACGGTCACGGCACGGTCGGCGGACTTGAGGCCCGCCGCGAAGATGTTGAAGTGCGTGCCGCCGATGGGGTCGTGGACTCGGAAGAGGTCGGAGTAGTGTTGGGGGAGGTCCACAAACGAGAAGTCGTCGATGGGCCCACGACCCTGAGTTTTTTTTTTAGTCAAATTACGATGAATACCCTTTGAGGCAATATTGCATTTTTAGTCATTCTGGTTTAACGCCATGACAATTTTAGTCACAAGGTTCCAAAATTTATTTTGCCTGGTCATGTGATTTAATATTTTGTGCAATTTTTTCAGTCCTCCAAAGGACTGAAATTACAAAAAATTCCAAGATTTTCGATTAACACTTTAAGTCCTGTAATATAAAATTTTATTGAAATTTCAATACGCAGCAAAATATTAAATCGCAACACCAAAAAGGCGAAAAGTTAGAACATTGTAACTAAAATTAACTGGATTAAAAATGCATCTTTGCCTTAAAAACTTTACCTTTATGGGTGGTGGTTATGGTTTATTTGAGAAAATCGCAATCTTACTCTTGGGTTTCATCTCTAGCCTACCTCAACTTGCTTGAGACTAAAAGGCTATGTTGTTGTTGATGTTAATGTTTGCAATAGGTTACAGAAAAGGTCATTTTCGCAACAAAAAGGTCCCCTTCGAATTTGCAAAAAGGTTACAATGCTCGGAGACCTTTTTTGTAACCTTTTTTGCAAACATAAGAGACGAAAATCAAAATAGCAATTCGAAGGGGATAAAAAAGTTAGGGTAGTAAAACATATATGACTGAAAATTGCAATTTTCTCCGGTTTATGTCAAAGTTGCATTTCTTTTGGATCTTCCAATGTTTATAACAAATAATATTATCTGCGAAAAGGAGCAAGAAAAAGTACTAGGAACAAACCTGATGAGCTACGTTGTGAATCACGAGGACCGATCTTGCATACTTCATTAACCCATGGTCACGATAATATGCTTTGAGGTACACAGGCAATAAGGCGGTGTGCCAATCGTTAGCAATGAAAACTAAATTTCCATCTCCATAGCAGATTCCACCACATGGAACATACCAAGGAACCTGTAAGTACATTTTTTGTCGTTTTAGATTTGTCAAAATGAATATATTCAGAAACGACTTTTCTTTTCTTTTTTTCGTAAATTTAGCCGTACCTCTACAGCTGCTTTACAAAACAAGATCATGCGCTTAAGAATGTCCTGTAATAAAAAAAAGAAAAGTACATTAAGAATTGTAAGTGTTCTTTTTTTTTTTTTGGTACTATTTTCATGGCTCGTTCAGGAGTAGGAAGGGTATAGTTCATTATGTAAAGAACTAATTACACTTGTAACGAACTATTAAAGTGGAAACGAACAGAAATGCTTACCACACGATTTCCTCCATAAATATTATTCCCAATGTGCCTGAAAATAGGACTGTCGATAAAAACAAAGTCTACACCATCAATGTAAGCGTGGAAGTAGTTAACCTCCATATCCTGCAAAATATCATATATTATGTTACACAACTCAGTAAAAAAAAACAAATCTGTAAAATTACCGCTCACCTGACCATCTACTTTATATCTCCTCCGAACGCCCGAATCTTTACCTTCAGCACAATCATTATAGCGAGGTACAACAACCTACCAGTAAAAGAAAATGATAATTCAATTTTAGCATATATATATACCATATTATTAACCAAAATAAACCTATCTGCAAGTTCCTCAAATTTTAGCTAACGCTTCTTAATCACACTATTCAGAAAATGGAATTTTCAGAGGGTAAAAAAAAAATAAAATAAAAAAATCACCATGACTCTGTGTCCACGCCTAGCCAAAGCCTTAGGTAAAGCCCCAGCAACATCACCAAGACCACCTATTGAACAAATTTCACTAAAACGTGATTTTGTGAAAATTTGGCTCATTAATTAACATAACAAACAACTGCCGAGAGGAGACAAGCCCGTAAAAATATCTTAACTAAACATCATAAGGCATGCTGAATAACCCTATCATTTTCGAACCTTAAAATCCTTAAAATAGATTTAACAAAAACTCGTTAAAAAAAATTACCTGTTTTAAACCAAGGAGCACACTCGGCAGCAACCAATATAACGTTCATAACATTGGCCCCAGCTAGTGGTGGGGGTTTTACTTTTACATCTTCATTTGTGGGATGTTGAATTTTACCATTTACTCCCTCTGGACTCGATTTCTTAACATCCTCAAGTACCTCTTCTTTTTTGCTCGATAGTATATAAGGTAATGTGGCTGTGTTTATATTAGCATCATTCGCATTTCTGTCTGGATAAGCTTCTGCAGTGCTCTTGAAGTCTTTGAGCATATCAATTTTCGAAGAAGGTACAGAATCTTTAGGCTTAATATCACGAGGAAGCTCTTTTCCGAGTTCTTTTCGATCTGCAAAGTCGCGTTTAGTAGTGATTCTATTGGATACTTGTTCAANCATGATCTTCGACCTATTTAATTACCTTCACCAGAAAGAGCACCATTATTATCCTTAATCGACTGTCGTGTATCAATTATGCTGTTATTAATCGACTCCACTAGTTTCTTTCTTTCAGCAATCTGTGCCAGAAAAATCCGAATGTTCAACTTTTTTTCAAGAAGAACCTCCACAAAGAAAATGCATACAAGCTCAAATTGACATTAAAAGATGCCTAATAAGCTTGAATAAAGCAGACAATACTAACATTACAAATGCTACACCTTTTTTCAGATAAACATTCCGAGAAAAGGGAAAATGGAAAAGGTGTAAAATACAATAGTTGCAAAAACCTGTTGCAAAAGGTCCTTTTGGATTGCAAGAACCTTTTTGCTTTTCTCGATCGTGGCCTGTAAAGCGTCCTCCTTCGATTCATCGTCCTCGGCATCGCTCCCTCCACCGCCCTCCGCCGCGGCTTTTACGAAGCGGGTCGTACGCCACCGCCGCCGGCCGCACCGAGATAACCTTCCGGTAGAATCTACGGCCAAATTCCTCGAGACCCCAGCTAAATTACAATCTGCAACAAAACCCCCAACCTCCACGCATTTTTTTCTCGGCCGGTAAGCAAGTAATGGAATCACACGCAGGTGATGATGACCCGCGCCGCGAAGAAATAAGGAACTGTCGACCCCAGAAGGAAAAGATCCCATTGATGCCATCTAAAAGCTCGGATATTTATCTCAGAAAAAAAAAATGAAGGATCTATAGTAATTTATTCAGCAAAGACAAGCGAACTCACAAAAGGCAGCTGAGGAAATCAGAAAATGATGAAAAATCGATCAAAATGTTTGCAAAGGTAGAGTCTTTTTAGTCTGTGGATTGGATTTGTGATTGAGAATTTAGGAAAACCAAGGAAAACAGCATGTGAAGGGTGAACTGCACTGAAAACGTCTTGTGAGTCGATTGCGAGCTCGAAGGAGGGACCCACTGAGCGAAAAATCTGATGAAAGGTTGCATAAAGTATTCTGAGGTTGAGATTGACCAAGCTTCAGTTCTCGTTAATATTATTCCGTACACTGGATATAAATAGAAAAATGGTACAACTACATAATAAATATACATAAAGATATATATAGCGGGGCCTTTATTTAAAAGGGATAGTCAAAGGGTCATTTTATTTAAATGACCCTTTCAATACTTTTTTTTGTTTAAATAACCCCATTCAAGAAATAAATATAAATAAGTAAGTGAAATACCTAAAATAACCTTCTTTCAATTATGTAACCAGATTTTGTAAAAAAGAAAAAAAAGAAAAAAAAAAAGAAACGAACAGAAACGGGAAGAGAACAGAGAGCCCAAGAGGGTGGGAATGGTTGGGAAGAAAACTAACTTTCATCCTACACATAAAGTTTGAATTCTATATTGCAAACAAATGTGTTTATAGTGGAAGAAAATTTATCTCTTTTTATTTTATTTAGAGAAAGGTGAAAGAAAAATTTGTTGTTGCTAGGATTTTATGTTATTTAATTTTGATAAGTATTTTGGTTTCATATTTGATGATTGATAAGCATGTAGATTTCATATTTTTTATGTTTTTTATGCCTTTCATTTTTTTTTTTATTTATTTGGATAATGTTGCATTTGATTGCACATAACGAATGTACAGTCGTTATGTAATATCATAACGAATGTACATTCGTTATTT